TTAGACTTATTCATTTCAATTAAAAAAATACAAAGTTTATATTTTCGCGTCACATTAGTTAGTCGTCGGCAGTTATTGATTTTTTATGTATTTTATATGCTGTTTATTAGTTCTTGTCATTCCGTTGCTACGGCGTACGAGCGCGCGAAAAAATGACAGCTCCGAACTGTCATTTTGCACGTGGCTGCACGCTCATTCCTGGATTTTTATGTATTAAGATCTCGTTAAATATTGCGAATCTCGCAAAATGGTACAGAACTTTTCGACTCATGAAGTCATTAAAACTACCTATTTTACAGGTATATAAGTATTTTGTTAAAAGAATAAATTTAAAAAATAAATACAAAAGTAAACTGCAAAATTCTAAGATGATACAATGTTTTTGTTTTAGGACGGTTTTCACGTAAAAGAGACATGTTGCTTGCAATATATTTTAAGACTTGATACGCACGATATTTTAATATCCGGTGGTGAAGACTGCACCCTTCGTGTTAGTTGTGTATCTCAGAGTTTTAAAGAAAATTTCGAGAACGTCTACACCTTTCATACTTAAGGAATTTTTGATGGTCATCTTTCGGGCATAAAATGTATAAGTATTGTTAAATTAAGCAACAAGCTCGGCAAATTAAATAACAGATATTTAGTCTTTTCTGCTGGAGGAAGAGCACAGCTAAAAGTCTGGGAGATAAATTTTAAATACAATCGACAAATATCGCCAAGTGTTGATGTATCATGTTCCGACATGAACTCTCATATGCTCTACGAACAAGATCAATATCGCAGGAAACTTTGGCAAGAAACTAAACAGTCTTATGTTATAGAACCAGAAACACGTTACATGGATATTTATACGTATTATCTTTCTGAGGATCTAAATTGTGTGTTAATATTTGTAGCTTGTGCAGACGGATATCTAAGGTAATTTAACAGTTTAACTTATCAAATATCAGGTTAACAGACTTACAAAATATAATTCTGATTTTCTGTTATAGACTATTCGTGTACAATATGAAAACCAACAACACGTATTTAAAAGTATCCACCAAATATATAAATCGTTGCATTTTGAAAATACACGTGTTATCACACAAGGGCAAAGTAATTGTGTTAACAATGAGTACTGATGGATTGTCACGTTTCTTCGATTATATCAATATAGTTACGAAAATATATGAAGATACAAATTCCAAGGATATTATAGATTTCAGTGATGCTCCTTTTGCAGAACATAGTCTGCATCAGTCAGGAATCAATTCTTTTGATCTACAATATTTAAATAAAAATAAATATCTTTTAGCTACT